GACATAGAAGCCACACTAACACCCCTTCCGTGTGACCATAACAAGACCCAAACAGCAGGATGACAGGAATAACAGGAAGAGATTACAGAAAAGACGGGAAGGCCGAGGGGCTGGGACGAAGGACAACAAGCTCCCTTGGGTGTTCGGCCTGGTGCAGGCGGCGCAGGGAACAGACGGATGACCCGATGCTCGACCCGCCAGGCTTCAAAGGATTGTACCAGGTCGTCATCATCGCCGCCACCATCGTCATCGTCATTATCATCATCGTCATTATCCGCAACAACATCAGCATCAACATCCGCATCATCATCATCATCATCGTCATCATCATCATTATCAGAATCCCCCTCCTCCTCCTCCTCCTCCTCCTCCTCTTCCTCCCCCTCGTCATCATCATCGCCATCGCCGTCATCATCACCATCATGGTCACTGTCGTCATCCCCTTTATCGCCACCCAAGTCGGCACAACCGTCACACGTTTCGTGGCCCCATAAGGAACTCTACCGAAAGCCCAGTGCTACCGCCCGCGTGCGCCCTCGCCACCCATTTCGCCACACCACACGCTGTGGCCCTATGGGGGTCCCCGCCGGAAATCCAACTGCCACCGCCCGCGTGCCTTCCCGCCACCAATTCCGGCATACCCATCACACGTTTCGGGGCTTCGTTGGGAACTATACCCGAAGTCCCACTGCCACCGCTCGCGGGCTATCCCGCCACCCATGTCGGCACACCCCTCACACGTTTCGTGGCCCCGTCGGGGTCTTCACCGAAAGTCCCATTGCCACCGCTTGCATGCGTCGCCGCCACCAAGTCCGGCATATCCATCACACGTTTCGTGGCCCCACAAAGGAACCCCACCAAAGGTCCGCGGCCACCGCCCGCATTCATCCCCGCTACCCATGTCGGCACACCGCTTACATGTTTCGTGGTCTCATAAGGAAGGTCCCATCGAATGTCCAAATGCCGCCGCCCGCGTGCGTCCCCGCCACCTGTTTTGGTACGCCGCTCACACGTTTCGTGGCCCCATAAAGAGCTCCACTAGAAGGTCCCCGTGGCGCCGCCCGCGTGCGCCCCCGCCACGGCACACCCCTCGCACATGTCGTTGAAACTCTAAGGAACTCCACCGAAGGTCCCACTGCCACCGCCCGCATGCGCTCCCGCCACGCAGTTCGGCGCTCTTTACGTCGCGGCGCGGCAGAGGCAGTCCGCACGCGCGCTCGGGCAAGCCGGGCGACGGCATTGCGAATTGGTAGGATGCAAGAGGGGAAGGCATGGGAAGAGAGGAGCGGTCGCGGGAGGAAGGGGAAGAACTAATGCGCTCACGCAGCGGGGTCCGCAACGGGGCGCCATGGGCGGCCTAGCCGGTGCTGCGCCCCTGGCAGCGGGCACGGGACGGCGTCGCGACCACACCCAACGGCCAGGGCAGCGGCTGCAATGCGGGAGGTCGTCGACCAACAAGCGAAAGAGGTGGGCGCGGGGGCCAGCGGCAAGATCAGGGTCAGGGTCGCAGCGTGCGCTGGAGCGCGCCCTGCGCTGGCTGCCGCGTGCGCGTCTCGCTGCTGCCGCCGCCCATTCTTGACTGTTCTCGCACGCGTTTTTCCGGATGATTCTCACATACCACACTGTTCTTGACAGTTCTCACATGGTGTACAAGAACAATATGCGACAGAACATGTGGCGGAAATGTGGCAGAAGTGTGACAATTTCCATGGACAATTCGTCGGTCTATCGTTTCGCCGGGCGTCCTGTGGTCCTCCTTCCGAAAAGGGCCCCTCTTCAGCGCAAGGCTCCCCCAGCCTGTGCACTCCTGCAGCTTTTGAAGGAGTCTGCTCTTGCGCTCCTCCTGCGCCTGCAGCCACGTTGAAATCCGAACCTCTCGTGCTAATTACTGCTCAGCGCGATACGTTGCTCGCTTGATCCAATCAGCGTAAAACTCGTCTGGCGCCCTGGCCGCGCCAACGATCTTTCTGAGCAATTTTCGCATGGCCACATTGGGCTTCTTACGGGGGGCCAGCGGCAGCGGAGCCGAAACACGTCCCAAGTGGCACGGGCGGGCTGAGCTGAGGGCAGTGGCCGCAGTGGCGGAGCGGGGGGGAGATCCCCCGGCACACCAGTGGGAGGCGGCGCTGCCTGCGGCGGGGGCGCACCGCGCGTCCGCCAGGCAAGCTGGGGCTGCGGAGCAAGGGGCTGGGCGGCGGTAGCCCGAAGCTGCATGGCTACAAGGGTGGGGGCAGGGCGGCCACGATGCCCAGGCGGCAGCGCGCGGGTCAGCAGCAGCGGGGGGCACTCGCAGAACCACCGGCGAGCGGGGAGGGCGGGGGGCAGCGGGGCCAGGCCCAGGACGGTGCACACATCGCGGCCGAGGGCAGGCGGCGCCGTGCTCAAGTGGGGGCAGGGCGAAGGCTCCTGGCAGCGAAGCTGCCGGGAAGCAAAATGGGGGTGCGGCGCCGGGGCGCAAGCACCCATGGCAGCCGGGTGCCCTCCTGCACACACCGCGGGCCAGTCGGCGCAAGGGCATGGCTGACCCTTGGGGCGCGCAGAGCCTGTGTCGGCGGCGTGTGCGCCAAGTGGGAGCCAGGCGGCAGCAGCTTCCTTGCAGGTGGAGGGAAGCGGCGCAGCCGAGCTCAGAGTGAAAGAGAAGCACCTAACAGGTGCACGAGCAACTGTGCCAGCAGCGGAGCCGCGAGAGGGTAGTGCCACGGGGGAGATGCGCGCAACACCTGGGGTGGGTGGTACGCCCCAGGGGGGGGATAGGGGAAGGCGCGCCACCTGGGGTACATGGCGCGCCCCCCAACAGTGGAGGAAAAGGGACACCCACACGGTACACGCGCAAGTGGGCGCAAAGGCGCAAGCCAGGGCGGCCGGCCTGTCGTGGAGAGGAGGCGCGCCACCTGGGTTAGATGGCGCGCCCCAAAGAAGAGGAAGGAAGGGGGCGCGCCACCTGGGTTGGATGGCGCGCCGAACAAGAACAGCACCTGATTTCATTTCGGCACACCCTTCAGACGTTTCGTGGCCCCATGGGGAGCTACACCAAAAGGTCCGAGGGGCGCCGCCCGCGTGCGCCCCCGCCACTAATTTCGGTGCATCCCCGACGCGTTTTGTGACCCGATGGGGAGCTGCACTGAAGGTCCCCGTGGCGCCGCCCCCATGCGTCCACGCCACCCATTTCGGCACACCCGTCACACTTTCGAGGCCCCATAGGGAGCTCCACGGATGATCCCCGTGGCGGTGTTCGCATGTGCCCCCCCCGATCCATTTCGGCTCCCCCTCACACGTTTCGTGTCCCGATAGGGAGCGCCACCGAAAACACTCACAACTGCAATACTCACAATTGCGTATGGTTGGGTCCTTCGCCGGGCTAATTGTGTCAGCGATCCGTTGCGATTTATTTGGGCAGCGCGCTGCGAAACAGACGCGCGAATTCGGTATCGAGGACTGCTTTGCCCCATGCGTCAGAGGTGGGCGAAAGATCGCGGAGCGGCGACACGGCTGCACGAACTGAGCGGCTGCATGCGGACAAACGCCGCCATCGCACCTCATGGGAAGCGTGTTGCGCGAGGCGTGGTCCACGTCAAACTAGGCATGGTACATCACGAGGTCGATGTGGGCCGCTGTGGGGCAGCACTCTTGGCTGCGGGGGTGATCAGTGGCCATGAGGGCGACAAGGGTGGTGTGCCGCACGGGCTACAAGTGATCAGAAAAGCCTCTGACGTCAGCCGTAGCCGCGAATCACAGCACCAAAGCGCCTCGGCGGGAAACGTCTACACATAAATGTAAAGGTCATGCTCAGAAAACGCAAGACAACATCGGGCTGACTTGCGAAACGGCAGCTGTGCATCTTACAGAACAAAGCAATCGACCTGTGATTCCATGTTGTGCAAGCCTGAACCAAGGGTGCTCGTTCGTATGGCCAATCCGATGCAAATGGGCACGCTCCTGGGCACAATGCCGCCATCACTTCATTAGTACCTGTTCCCCCGGACTCAGACTCTTCGTGCAAATTTGCACGCTTACCGCACTACCTGCGGCCGGCCTCGCCCTTTTGCTCGCTGGCCCCCGCTACGCGCGAGCTCCTGCTCGATACGCCTTGCACGGCGCTAAGGCGGCATAGGCGGCGCGCGCCGCGCTGTCAGGAGGCTCTGCGACAGCCGCCCCCCGCCCCCCCCCCGAACTGAAGAACCCCGCCCCCGCGTCGGGCCCTCCCCGCGCCCTCCTCGGGGCCGATGTTCGCTGTGTGAAAACGGGTTCGCTAAAAGGGGCCCTCTTCTTCACCGCCCATGTAGGTCACCCCCATGACCGCCTGCCCGAGGGCAGCCTGGTCGTGCGATGTGTCCGGCAGCTTGTCTGCGAGGCAAGCGAAACAGCTCATTGGCATCGCGCCTCGCTGGACAGCAGGATCTGCGATGACAGCTCCGTCAGTGCGCCCTCCGCCTGCTGGACCATGTCTTTGCCATCCTGGATCCTTGCAGTCCTTTCGTTGGCCCGTCTGCGCCGCGCCGCGTAGACCGTGACACGCTGCGGCAACACGCCGGTAAGGCTGCAAAGCCACCGAAGTTCGGCCGTGATGCGCATCTCAGCACAACGGTCCACGGTATTGCCGCAGTGGGACTCCCGGACCAGACGGACCGACTTCAGGACCAATGCGGTGCTGACGGTGATCTTCCCGTCGACGTAATCTCGCACTCCTGTTTTCCCCTTGGTACCAAGCACTGCCTTCTCTCCGCCAAGATGCCGCAAAACATTTGATAAGTGTAGATGCGCCATCTCCCCCGACCGCAGCAGCCCGCGGAGACCTTCCACGAGAGTAGCGGCTAGTTCTGGGCGCCGAGGCAAACATGCTACCCCTGCCGTGCCTTTGACCATCCGGCCGCTGAGCGGGAGAGCTCGTGTACGAAGCGCAGTCTTGCGCCAATTTCGGAACTAGTTCTCTGACTTTGACACCTTGTTCCCAACATGGAATAAACAACTGCGATGAACCGCTGAGCGTGTCGGCCACGGCTCCCCCTGACATCTCGTCCTACCATACCTGATTGACGAATTCTGCAACTTGGTAGCCGAAATCTTGTGAATTCTTCCACTGTGGTCGGAACATGCCACCACTCAAGTGCGCGCGCGCATGCCGGGTTGCTCAGACCGCTTCCAGAAGCTCTCCTTGCGCGTCGCCCACCCCGCCTTGGGATACCATGGAACAGCGATGTGGGAACAGGAAGGGGTACCTCTTTACATGGGGAGTGGGACCATGCCGGAAGAGCTCCGATTTTGAGTGGTCAGGGTCGCACTGAATGTTCGCAACGGCACGAAGGCGGGCATCGATGTGTACCGAGAGAGCCCTGCGGAGTCTCAGCGTCAAAAGAGAGACGGCCTTCATGGCGCCGTACCCAGCACATACACCTTTGTCGTGCTCAGTCGCAGACAGAATCTGACTCTGCGACCACGCTCAACATGATGCTCGGCGTTGGTGCCGTAGTCTGCTGCAGCCTCAGTGCTGGACCTGCTTGCGGCGTCGACCTGGATAAGTAAGATCTCGGCGATGGGCCCAGAATCGGGCCTCAGCTCAGAGCAAGATGATCTCCGCGTCGCCCGCACCCGAAATCCTCAAATCTGACTCCATCCTCACGGACACATGACAATTCCGAGTCCAGTCTGGCCGTGGCGACAAGAAGCCTCCTCAGGAGCCAGGGAAATTATAAGTAGGCAGGTACACCACCTCATCACTGGGGCTGTGGGGCATCTTTCTTCCATCTTCTTACCTTCAATTTCGCCTTCTTCGACTTTCAGCCCAGCAACTTGCGCTGCCGCTGAAGTACATCTCCGCCCTTGCCCCCTGCACTCTCCCTCTGGTGCCATCTGACCCTGCTGAACACGACCGCCACCCTCCTCATCATCCCCGCGTCCTGCTCCACGCTGGTTCCACCCGTTGTTTTTCCCAACCATCCTGTGGTGTTGGGTCCTCGTTTTGAAGAGTCGGTCCCCGCGTCTCCTCCGCCCCTCTTCCTCCTCCTCCTCCTCCTCCTCCTCCTCCTCCTCCCCCTCCCCCTCCTCCTCCTCCTCCTCCTCCTCCTCCTCCTCCTCCTCCTCCTCCTCCTCCATCGCCATTCTTTTTGCTTATCAATAACTTCTCCTTGCCGCACCCCGAGGCCAGTTTTTAGGGCGAACTGGGCGTTTCGCCTGAGACTTCCTCACCATTTATGACCCTGCAGCTTAACACAGGACGACCGTTTCGCAGGTGAAGGGCGAGTCGTTTTCAAAATGTGACTCTCGCCTTGGCGCCGCGCGCATTCGTTTTAAACATTTGCAATCATTTCAAAGGTTGAGGGCGACTGGTTCCACATGTGCAAGGGTCTCACAGGTTCCCATGCTCAGCGTACCAGGAATTGTGTTTGGAAGGATTCAGGACTATGAGGGTGGAACAGTTACATTGATTCGCGGTGTTGAAATCCCAGGAATGGCGTGCTGGCATGATTCAGGATCGTCAAGACGCCGCACTCACGTTGATCAGTGGCGTTGAAATCCCGAGAACAATGTTTTGGCATGCTTCAGGGTCTTCAAACGGCTGTCTTCCCACGATGCAATTCCCTCAGTGGAGATGGCCCGTTGTAGGGGCTTATGAGGAGGGAGCTTGTAGGGAGGGTTTATTCCAACATCGTTGATGGCTCTTGGGTTCACACTGGTCCTCCTCCTCCTCCTCCTCCTCTTCCGCCCTCCTCCCGTCTCCCCCTCACTTTGGCACCTCTTTCACACGTTTCGTGGCCCCGTATGGAGCTCCACCCACGGCCTCAGTGGCTGCGGTCGACTGCCGCCACCCCACACCTCGCACACGTTTCGTGGCCCCACAAGGGGCTAGGACCCAATGGCTGCGTTCGCATGCCGCCAACCCCCACTTCGGCACACCCCTCACACGTTTCGTGGCCCCATAGGGGCCTCCACCGAAGGCCACATTGGCTGCGATCGCATGCAGCCACCCCCTTCACTTTGGCACGCCCCGCACACGCTTCGTGGCCCCATAGGGACCTCCACCGAAGGCCCCAGTGGCTGCGCTCGTACGGTATGCCGCCACCCCCCTCACGTTGGCACACCCCTCACACTTACGTGGCCCCACATGGTGCTCGACCGGAGCTCCAGTGGCGGTGTCTGCATTTCTTCCCCCATCGAGTACAGCGTTTCGTGGCCCCATAGGGAGCTCCACCAAAGGCCCCAGTGGCGGTGTCCGCTTGTTGCCCCACCCAGTGCAGAACTTCGTGGCCCCATAAAGAGATCCACCGAAGCCCCCAATGGCGGTGTCCGCGTGCTATTCCCCCACCCAGTACAACGTTTCGTGGCCGCCCCATAGGGAGCTCCACCGAGGGTCTCAGTGGCGGTGTTCGCGTGCGTTCCCCCCACCACCCAGTACAGCGCTTCGTGGCCCAATACGGACCTCCACCGAAGGCCTCAGTCGCGGTGTTCGCATGCGTCTCCCCCGCCCAGCACAGCGCTTCGTGGCCCCATTGGGAGCTCCACCGAAGGCCCCATTGGCTGCGCACGCATGCGTCCCCGCACCATGTCGGCACACCCACCACACGTTTCGTGGTCCCATATGGAGCGCCACCGGAGGCCCCAATGGCTGCGCCCGCATGCGTGCCCGCCCCCTAGCGGCACACCCTTTACACGCTTCGTGGTCCCATAAAGCGATCCACCGACGGCGATGCCCACACCAGCGATACCCACAAGTGCAGATGGTTGGGCTCTTCGCCAAGATAATTCTTGGTGGGCACGTTCATCCAACGCGAAGAACTCAACACTGCGTCCTGCCCTCTCACTCTCCGTCTGATCTACGTATCCTCCTCGTTCTTACTTTTCCTTCTCCTCCGAGCTTCTGCTCCCTCGTCTCATCCTGGCCCTTTGGCTATCTAACATAAATCCCACCAGCCCTCTGGGCGTAGGTGGTTGAGGGAGTTTCCTCTTCCAACCTCCTTCGTCCCCTTCGGGGGGGGGGGTACCCCTCCCCCTACCCCCTCCCCTGGACCTGGACGGGGGGTTTCGCGACGCGTTGGAGCGTCCAAACGGCCTCGGCGAGGAAGCCAACATCATTGGGTTTACTAGGGTTTTGGCCCATTTTGGCCTCCTGAGGGGGGGAGGCAAATTTAGCCCCCCCCTCCTGTGATCGATCTCCTCCAAGATGGCCCCAAGGGGCGCCCAGGAGGCCCCAAGAGGCCCCGAGATGGCCCCAAGATGGCCCCACGAAGCCCCCAAGAGGCCCCCAGGATGCCCCCCAGAGGCTCCCAAGAGACCCCCTGGAGGCCACCCAGAGGCACCCAAGACGCTCCAAGAGGCCTCGGCGAGAATGCCACAATCATTGATTTTATTTAGGTTTTGGCCACATTTTGGCCTCCTGGGGCGGGGCACTGCTTCAGATGACTCCGAGAGCGCCTGGGGGAGCCCAAGATGACCTCCAAGATGGCTCAAAATATCCCAAGATGCCTCAAGATGGCTCCCACGATGTTCCAAGAGGCCCCAAGACCGCTCCAAGACGGCTCCAAGTGGCCAAAGAGCTCCCCGAGGAGGACCCGAAGAGGCCCCAATCCTTCCAACACCTTAGGACAATCAATGTTTTTGGCTTTCTCGCCTTTTCGCTTCCGATGGCCATCCGAGGCTTCAAGATGTCTCCAAGAAGGCCCAAGACGGCTCCACGAGCGCTCCAAAGGATCCCAAGAGCGCTTCAAGAGGGCCCCAAGAGGCTCCCAGGAGGCCCCAGTAGGCCCCAACTGGCGCCCAAGAGGCCTCCGATATGCTCCCAAGAGACCCCCAAGAGGCCCCACGCAACTCTCCGAGGCACCCAAGACGCTCTAAGAGGCGTCCGGGATCGCCAAGAGGCCCCCAAGGCGCTCCAAGAAGTCTCCACTGGGGGACCCTTCCTCTGCGTGCTGCCCACTTCCCTGATCGAGGCAATTCCTCTGGGTATCGTTTCTGGATGGGCGTCTAGAATTACTTCGTGGTGTACGTCCGAGCTGCAACAATGAAGAATGCTCTGGCCTCGCCTACCCGTGCGGATCCCACATGCCTTCTTTCACACTTCCCCCGATCAATGGCCTTTGACGCCCGCAAACACTCTGATCGCTCCTCTTTCTCCTTCTCCTCCTTTGGAGGCTCTGTGCTGATTTCGCGCCCGGTGGCGCGGGCCCCTTTCACGCGAACGCGCGCAAGTTGGGAGCCTTGAAGGTGGCGCCGTTCGAAGTAAGCCCCCCTACCTGTGAAGCAGCAGCACCAGACGTAACCCGTGGTGGAGCGAGTGCGCATGGGGCATGACAATCCGATGTCGATGCAAGCGGTGATGAAGAAGGGACGCCAACAGAGTAGGTCAGTGAAAAGGGGGGGGGCCTGGCGGGAACGGGACAACGGGAGGGAGAGGAGATGGGGAGCGGAACGTGAGGCAGAAGGTGGGGACGGGGAAGGGTGGGGAGAATAACGTCGGTGGAGGTACGGGAAGGGGGCGGGAGAGGGAAATCCAAGTGTAGATCGGGACGGGAGAATTACAGTCGGGGCGGTGACCTAAGGAACCCTAACTAAGGAACGAGGCCCCGTTTTTCCATGACTTAAACTTCGATCCCCTTCGAACACCCAAGGAAAACGCGGGGCAAACTGTGAAACTATGAAGGAACGCGGAGCCCCTACCCAACGAAAAGGGTTCCTTCTTCAGGGCCCCGACTGTAAGGGAGAGGCGCGGCGGATAGGAGGATGCGGCATGGGAAAAGGCGAGATGAATGGCCGAGGATGGAAGGCGGGGGGGCGGGACGGGGTTGAGGGTGAGGATGCGTGAGGAGAAAGGATACCCCTACAGGTCCACCCGCCCAACACGATCCCCCTTGGCCCCTCTCTCCATTGCCTCTCCCCCACCTTTCCCATCATCCTTTCTACCCTCATCCCGTCCTCCCCCCCTCCCCCTCCCGCCCTCTCCCCTTGCCCATGGCCGCTTCCCGCCCCCCACTCCCCACTACCGCTACAAGCACGAGGAGCCCGTGCGAGTAGCATTACAGTCCAGTTCCCCACTCGGCCGCAGCCGACGGTGTGCACCCACACGCGCGCAAGGAAGGAACGCACGCGTGCCTTCACCCCCCCTTTGTCGTTCTTGGCGGTCGTGGGCTTGTAACCACCGTAACCAACGAGCCTGCTGTTGTAGTTCTCTGTCATCAAATGCTTCTCGATTGACCTCGCCAGCAATGAAGCATACGTTGCACTGCTGGCTTCTCAATTGGCGTCGCGACAGAACATCGGTTCGAAATATACTCGTTGCACCCATGCACATTTACAACTTTCTGTATGCCCCTCTGCCGTTCACAAAACGTGCCACTGTGCCGCGAAGCCCCTCAAATCCCTTCGGGTGGGTACTGTAGATGCTCATCAGGGGCCCCAGGCCCCCCACTCCAAGAACTCTTGGGCGCTCCTGCGGCTTGTCGCATGGCTTTTCCCGAGGCCTCTCGGGGGGTGACCGGGGGGCCAAACTTCCAGCATGCCCAAACCTCGCCATCGCTCGGACGTCCATTCCCTGTGCTTTTTCCGGTTTCGTGCGTGGATTTTTCGCCAAATGATCAAGGATGCTCCTCGATGGTCCTCGCCGTTGGAAAAATGCACACGCCCTAGCGCTGCCAAGGAGCACGGTCCCTGGGAGCAGCTTGAGCGGGTTTCGGGAGGCGTGGGGCCAGCTGGAGAGGCCCACATGCGATTGTCGCACGTCACCTCTTCGGTACTCGAAGTACCCAGAAGAGGCTCCTCCTCCTCCTCCTCCTCCTCCTCCTCCTCCTCCTCCTCCCCATTGGTTTCCTCGTGGTCCTCAAGAGAAGCCCCAGGACCCCGAGAGGCCCCCAAGAGGCCTCCTCTTTCACCTCCTTCCCTGAGTGTCCTCCCCCAAATGGGGTTCCACCGCGTCGTTCCAACAGGCAGCGGGCGGCGGTGGATCACCGAAGGCGTCTTCGACCTGTGTGGAATGGTCCAAATCGTGTAGAATTCGGAGCGCCAGACACCCTGGAACATGAAGGGACAACAAGGCTTAAAACGCCAACGGCGAGTCGCCGCCACCCGCTCCCCTGCCGTTCTAGAAACGCCGATGTGGCCAAACGCTGGACCAAAGCTTGGCCAAGCGATTGGACGATGTGTTCCCCCAGCCGTTGTGGAAACCCTTCGGTGAATACCTGGGAAAGAAATTGAGAGGAGGATGAGAAGGAGGAGAAGGAGAAGGAGAAGGAGGAGGAGGAGGAGGAGGAGGAGGCGGAGGACTAGCATGAGAAAGAACAGGAGGCCTCTGAAGGCAGCATCGTGGCTTTCTGGGGCCTTCCAGGGAGCCTCTTGGGGGCCTGTGATTGCCTCTTGGGGGCCCCTGGAGGCCTCAGACGGACCTCTTGGCCTTCGGAGGCCGTCTTAGGGGCCTCTATGGGCAGTCGTGGGTCCCTCTTTGGGCGCTTTAGGGCCATCCTTGATGCCTATGGGGCTATCTTGAGGGCGTCTTGGGATTCTCTTGGATCGTCTTGCAGGCCCCTTGGGCTTCTTGGGGGCTTCTTGGGAAATCTTGGGGCGATCTTGGGGGACTACGGGGCTGTCTTGGAGCGTCGGAAGCCCCCAAGGGAGACAACGCTAAACTCAATACATGGTCTTAGAGACATCCATGATTTTGGCGTCCCGGAAGTCCTTTGAATCACTCTCGGGGCGTGTTTCTCATCAAATAATCTTTCACATATGAGTCCCAAGTCAACCCCAAAAAGCTCTCGGGAGAAGGAAAGAAGAGAACGTAATACGGACGAAGGAGGTGGGGGGGAGGGACGAAAGGGGAGGAAAGAAATGACAGGCAGGGGGGAAGGATAATGAACGCACAGGACTGCTGCCAACAGCAGCGGGAAGCCCCCCAGATCGGCGGCACTGGCCGGAGTCCAACTCAATTCGTAGAGAACTGGTCCTTTGTTCTCCGTAATTTGCCCTTGCAGCCGTCAAGCTATCCGCATGGCTTCCTCTGCAGTCCGCGTGGCTTCCTCTGTATCCGCATCGCTTCCTTTTGCAATCCGCATGGCTTCCTCTGTATCCGCGTGGCTTCCTTTGCAAGCCACATGGCTTCCTCTGTATCCGCATAGCTTCCGCATTGCTTCAGCATGGGTCGAGACGGACAGAGACGAGTCGGATAGATGGTAGCAGAGCAAGGCAGACTGGAATCGAGTAGAGCAGAATATGATAGAGCAGAATAGAATCGGAATCGAGTACGAGTATCGTGCTGTACTAGAAGAATACGTTAAGATAGTATGGCAGGAGTCGAGTAGACGGTATAGTAGAGTCGGGCATTATCGATGATTTAATCATAGTGCAGAGGATGTTCGAGTCGAGTACCAATCCAGTGTACTAGAAAACAACTATAACACGTCAGGGTAGGGCCGCCGGGTAGACGTCATTGAGTAGGGTAGAATAGGACATCGAACAGAAAGGGCAGATGCTATGATGGACTCGGTATTACAACAACAAGTAGACCATCCTACCATCTATTACAATCCACCCAATGCACTTCAGTCTGCTCCAGGCCGAGTCTACGTGTTCACTCCAATCCACTGCATCTCAGTCTGATACGTGTGGAGTCTGTGCTGCTTGTTGTTGTTGTTGTTGTTGTTGTTGTCCCAACCATCTTGTGGTGTTTTGTCTTCGTTTAGAAGAGACAGCGCCACGCGCCATTCACTCCTTCCTCCTTCCTACTTCTTCCTCCTCCTCCTCCTCCTCCTCTCCCTCCTCCCTTCTCCCAATTCTGCCTCTGCCCCCCGCATGCCCCTGCTTCGCCACACCCCTCACACACTTCGTAACTTCGTGGCACCATGGGGAGCCCCACCGCTGGCCCCAATGGCCGCGGCCGCATTCCTCCCACCACCCAATACAGCGTTTCGTGCACCCCCCCAGGGATCTCAACCAAAGGCCCCAATGGCCGCGGCCGCACGCGTCCCCGCCACCCACTACAACGCTTCGCTGCCCCATGAGCAGCTCCAGCGAAGGCCCCAGTGGCTGCGGCCGCATGCGTCCCCACCACCCAATGCCAAGGTTTCGTTGCCCCATGGGGAGCTCCACCGAAGGCCCCAATGGCCGCGGCCGCGCGTCCCCGCCACCAAGTGCAGCTTTTCGTGCCCCCCGAAGGTGGCTCCACGGAAGGCCTCGGTGGCCGCGGCCGCATGCGTCCCAACCACTCTCCGCAGCGTTTCGTGGCCCCACGGGGAGCTCCACAGGATGCCAGAGAGGCGACGCTCGCATGCGTCTCCCAGGCCCAGTACAGCGTTTCGTGGCTCGATGGGGAGCTCCAACGAAAGCACCAGTGGCCGCGGCCGCATGCGCCCCCACGGCCCAATGCAAGTTGCGTGGCCTCATAGGGAGCTCCACCGACGGTCCCTGAGGCAACTTTCGCATGCGTTCCCACCAACATTGTATCGTTTCGTGGCCCCAAAAAGGGGGCTCCACCGAAGGCCCCAATGGCCGCGACCGCATGCGTCCCCACCAGCGACTACAAAGTTTCGTGGCCCCCTGGGGAGCTCCACCGATGGACACAGAAACGACAACGTTCGCATGCGTCCCCACCGCCCAGTTGCCTATAAAGAGCTCCACCGAAGGCCCCAGGCGGCCGCGGCCGCATGCGCCCCCCCCATCCAGTCACGTTTCGTGACCCGAAGGCCCCAATGGCCGCGGCCGCATGCGTCCCCGCCACCCACTACAACGCTTCGTGGCCTCCACCGAAGGCCCCAATGGCCGCGGCCGCATGCGTCCCGACCGCCCAGTACAGCGCTTCGCTGCCCCATGGGGTGCACCACCGAAGGCCCTAGTGGCAGCAGCCGCATACATCCCCGCCACACAGTACAGATATGCGTGGCCCCATAGGGAGCTCCACCGAAGGCCCCAGAGGCAAAATCCAAATGCGGCCCCGCGGCCCACCGCATGCTAATTTCGGCACACCCCTCCCACGGTTCGTGGCCTCATAAGGGGTTCCACGGAAGGCCTCAATGGCAAGGTTCGCATGCAGCTCACCGCCCACCGCCCACCGCATGCCCATTTCGGCACACCCCTCCCACGGTTTCGTGGCACCGCAGGGAGCCTCACCCCGAAGGCCTTCGTGGCAAGGTTCGCATGCTGCTCCCCGCCCACCGCACTTTCCTGCTGGCACGCCCCTCGCACGGCTCGTGGCCCCGTAGGGAGGAGGAGGAGGAGGAGGAGGAGGAGGAGGAGGAGGAGGAGGAGGAGGAGGAGGGAGGAGTGGAGGAGGAGGAGGAGGAGGGGGAGGAGGAGGAGGAGCCCCCGAGAGCCCCGCGCCCTCCATCCATCCTCCCTCCTCCTCAAGTTTCGTGGCCCCAGAGGGAGCTCCACCGAAGGCCCCCGTGGCAGGGTTCGCATGCGGCCCCGCTCCCTGCATGCCCATCCTGGCACACCCCTCACACGGTTCGGGGCCCCACAGGGAGCTCCACCGAAGGCCCCAGTGGCATGGGTCGCACGTGCCCCGCCCACCCACCCGCCGCATGTCAATTTTGGCACGCCCCTCACACGGTTCGTGGCACTATAGGGGCCCCCTTTCTTCGTCTCATCTGCCTCGCGGTACTCACACCTGCATATGGTTGGGTTCTTCGTCTGGATAATGTTGTGCGCCTGCTGTGCGAAGTGCAACTGCTTTGAAGAACGCAAGCGCTGAAACATGGGGAACCGCTGGCTGGGTGTCGGCGGGGGTGCTTGCCTCGATCCTGCCAGCCCTCTGGGGGGCTGGTGACCAATGGCCTCAACTCCCGTCGTCGTCGTCGTCGTCGTCGTCGTCGTCGTCGTCGTCGTCGTCGTCGTCCCTCCCAACCCCCTCCAGCCCAGTCAGCCCCTTGGGGAACGGGGGAAGCTCACTCTCCCCTCCGTATTTGGGAAAGACGCAGTCGCCCCTTGGAGTCCCAACTACGGGGTCCTGGACGGATCAAAACTATTCTTTTCGCATCCACGGTAGAATACGCCACAATACAACCGATTGCCCCCCCCCCCCCCCCCACATGTGGGCCAACGATATCAAAAACTATGCCTGGCATCCATCACTGCTTGTACCTTGAACATGATGCGCATGTGGATGAAAACCTTACACCGCCATTGACGGTATCCCGTGCGCTGCTGCTAGCGACTCTGGCTCATGCCGTATGCCACCAGATTGCCGACCGTACCAGAAGACTCCCTGACGTGCGGGCTGGGACCTCCTCCCGCGAGACGGCCACGCGGCATCCCGAAACAGAAACCACACGAAACAGAACGCGAAATGGGGAGACGGTCGCCGCCGTCCCGGAGGTCCACGCGGAACACCCCAAGCGCGCCCAACAACTTCCAGAACTGCTCGGGGAACCGGGGTTACGAGCCTTTGAAAATCCGAGAGGCCCTCGACCTCTCAAGGCTACATGAGGCTTTGGGCACTCGCGCCAGAGGAAAGGCCACGGGCGTTTGGCCCAGCACGCCTACCTCTTTGCAGCCTTCGTCGGCTTTGGGCACTCCACTACGTGCTGAGGGCACGATGGCGGCTTGGCACCGCGATAGAACTATAGTCCAACGGGGCTTGTCACATTTCTCTAGGGTGTGGTGGTCGGGCTCGAGGAAACGAGTCGGCCTCAACATGTGGCCGTCCCTGAGGACCGCCGCTTGCTGCTTCTCAGCTCTCTCGGTAACGGTTGTGGGTTTTAGTGTTCTTTTCGAGCGTTCGACGCTCCAAGACAGCCAAAGAGGCGCCCCAAATCGCCCCAAGTCGGCCCAAGAGGTGCCCAAGAGCGCACCCCAGGCAGCCCAAGATGGCCCCACAACGGCCCTCAATACTGCCCAGTGGGGCCTCAACGAGAGGCCTCAGAGGGGGAACCCGAACCGACCTTTCGAGCCCATCGCCCCAAGATGACCCCGGAGACCGCCAGCAGGCCCCCAAGATGCCATCCACAAGCTCCATAAGGCCCCCAAGAAGCCAGAAGAGGCACGGTGGCGGGATGGGCCGCAAGCCAGTTGATCCGCCGCCCCCTGCTTGCAGGGGTGCACGGCGTGCTGGACGAGCTGGTTTTGGTTTTGGTTCTTTTTCTAAAAGAACTCCCCAGTGGGCTTCGGCCCGTCCCGCCGGCCACCCGTAAATTTCCCAAAATGCGTCTGTCAATGCCCAAAAACGGCCGTTTCGCTCGGGACATCCTCAAAAAATCGCGAAGATGGCCCAAGATGGCCTCCAAGTCCGCCCGAGATGGTCCAAGACGGCCTCCAAAACGGCCCAAGAGAGTCCAAGACGGCCCAAGACGGCCCAAGAGGCCCCCCAGAGGCCTCCCAGACGGCCCAAGAGGCCTCCAAGAGGTCCTCCAGGAGAGTCCGAAGAGGCCAAAATCATTGATTTTCCCTTGGTTTTTGAAGGATTTTGGCATTTGCGCCTTTTCGGCTCTCCGACGGCTCAAGACGGCCCAAGAAGCCCCCAAGATCGCCCAAGAGGCCCCCAAGAGAGCCCCATGATGGCCCAAGTGGCCTCCAAGATGGCCCCTAGAGGGCCCCAAGAGGGCCCAAGAGGCCTCCAACACGCCCAAGATGGCCTCCCAGACGCCCAAGATGGCCTCCAAGACGGCCCTGGAGCATTCCAAGCGGGCCCCAAGTCGGCCCATAGAGGCCCCCCAAACGGCTTCCGACGGCTTCAGACGTGCCAGGAACCCACCAAGATGGCCGAAGTTGGCTCGAAGCTGGCCCGAGACGGCCCAAAAAGCCCCAAAGATCGCCCAAAGCTTGCCCAAGAGGCCTCCAAGACGGCCAAGATGACCTTCAAGATGCCCACGTGTTCCCCGAAGGCTTTCCAAACCGATTCGGGGAACACGTGGTCCGATAGCTTGGCAGGTCTGGCCTCAACGTTCGGCCACATAGGCGCTTCCAAAAAGGCAGGGGGCGGCGGTGATTCGCCGTAGGCGTCTTCGATCCGCCGCCCCCAATTGTCTTGCCACAGGGGTGCTCCGCGTGCTAGACGTCTGGTGGCTTTGGGGTCTTTTAGAACTCCCACGGAGGCTTCGCCACAACGCGCCGGCCACCCTGAAGGCCGCGTTAGCCGCGCAATCCGCTGAACAATTGTGTCAAATCGCCTCCGCGACGGCCAAGATGGCCTCCAAGATGCTTTCAAGACGGCTAAGATAGCCCCAAGAGAACCCCAGATGGTCCCAAGATACACCCAAGACGGCCCAAGATGCAGCCAAGATGGCCCAAAATGGGCCAAGACGGCCAAAGAGGCCCCCAAGAAACCTCCAGGACAATCCAATAGGCCTCCAAGAGGTCCTCCAGGAAGACCCGGAGAGGCCCAAAGCAGGATTTTCCTATGGTTTTTCACAGTTTCTGCTTCAAAACGGCCTTCCGACGGTCCAGAAGGCCCCCAAGATCGCCCCCATTGCGCCCCAGAGGCCTCAAAGATGTCCCCAGGACGGCCAAAGATGCTTCTAAGACGGCCCTCAAAGGGCCCCAAGACGGCCCAAGAGGCCTCGAAGACGGCCAAGTTGGCATTCAAGACGCCCCTAAAGCGCCCCAAGAAGGCCCAGAGAAGCTCTCAAGATGGCTTCCGACGGCGCAGACGGGCCAGGAACGCCGTAAGACGGCCAAAGAGGCCCGCAAGAAACCCCCAAAGGCCCCCAAGAGGCCCAAGGATGCCCCCAGGAGGCCTTCAAGAGGCCCCCAGGAAGCCCCCAGGAGGCCGCAATAATGAACCAAGAAGCTCCCACGAGGTCTCCTCATCTTTCTCCTCATCCTCCTTTCCCATCCCTATCCTTATCCTCCTCTTCCTCCCCCACGTGTAGGGCTTCCACAATGGCTAGAGGAACGCATGGTCCAATTGCGTCTCCAAGTTTGTCCCACATGTTTGGCCACGTAGGCGTATCCCAAATGGTAGGGGGCGGCGTTGACTCGCAGTCGGCGTCCTCGATCGTTCTACCACGCGGCCAGACTGGGATCCTGGGATCCCCCATTAGCGACGCAATGTGCAAACAAGAAACGGAGCAGATGGGGAAGAAGAGGAAGAGAGGGGAGGGGGCGGGGAAAGTGAAGCGATAGGGAGCAGGATGGGATGAGGGGAGTGCACGATGCGCCTCCTATCTCCCCCTCTCCGATGGCCCCCCCCCGCCTACCCCTGCCTTTTCGTGCCTTCCCTCACCCTCACCTCCCATATTCCTCCCGTCCAAGACGCCATGGGGAAATGCCGATATCAAGCGCTGCCCGCACGGCCGGTGGACCTGGTCTGCCCGCCCTGCTCGACCCTCGCAACCAAGGGGTTCACGGTGTTCGAGGGCAGGAAGCCCGAATAGCCTTCGGGCCCCTCTCAGCGAGTCCCGCATGCGTGGGGGGCTGGAAGGGGACAGGAAGGGCAGGTAGTGTAGAGAAGAAATAAGGCAGATCAAGGTTGGGAAGAGTAAGGCGCGATGAAGGGAGAGAGAGAGAGAGAGAGACATATATATATATATATATATATATATATATATAGATAGGTAGATATATAGACATATACAAGACTGCATTGGCGCTTCGCGCCCTGCACCTTGGTCCTTCAAGCCTTGCATGTGTTGGCACCCAACACGATCCTCCGTGGCCTTTGCATTCTGCCCGTTTCGCGCCCAGTCCTCGGGCCCGTTCCATATTTGCTCGCGCCCTCGCTTGGCAAGTCCGCGCGCCACTCGGACTTATCTTGGGGTGCGTTTGCATGAGAATCTCAAAACGGATCCGATCACGTAGCGATGAGAACGGCCGTGGAGGCTCCGGAAAAAACTCGGAGGGAAGGAGCGGGGTTGAAGTGGAGGAGGATGAATGGAGGAGCGGCAGAGGGGAGGAAGATCATGAGGAGGACGAACAGGAGGGAGAAGGATGACGAAGGCGCCGTCGGGGAACGGCGAAACAATTTGTCAGCGTCGCACCGAGCGGCGCCGCTCCAGAAACCGCCCAACCCCGCGGGCGGCTTCTGCCCAGAAGCCGAGAGCGGGGGGCCAGGGGCAGAGGCGGCAGCCGCAGCCCAGGGCCCGCAACGGGTGCATTGATAGACTTTTTGTTGGGGGGCTGGCCGTAATTATGTTTCCCGCCGACTGGCACACGACTTGCAAGCCCGATTGGACTGCTGAAGTTGTGTTGTGGAGAATGATTGTGCAGGCAGGGTCTCGCCACAATCGGAGCAGGCAAATACAGACATCGAGGATGTGGTGTATGCGATAGCTTAAACATGTAAGCCAACGGCTACGGATGCAGGTGTACGTGCACGTTTGGAGAACATTGTTTCATACATGACTTGGAAGGGCCAACGTGAAATCTCCATGGAACGATTATTCTGGGTTGCGATAGAGCAGCAAGCATGCAGGCAATGTACCGGATCCTGGAAATGCTAAGGACATCTACCGAATCTCAGGAAATGTGCCGAATCCCGGGTTCGCAACCGATTTCCCGGGAATTTGGTTGCGAACCCGGAATTTCAAGCATTTTGGGGTTTTGCGTGGGATGCCGCTGTCTGGCAAACAACGGAGCAGCGCAGGGAAGCCGTCCCGGAGGTGACGGCTGATTTAGGCGATTCAAAGGTTTTGAAGCCTCTTGGGGAGCCGTTTCGACTGCCTCTTGGAGAGCCATTTGGGGGCCTCTCGGGTTTTTTTTTGGGACCTCTTGGGGGTCCTTGGGACCTTTTGGAAGCTTCTTGGGGCCTCTTGGGGCCCTCCTGGGGCCTCCTGGGGCTCCCTCGGGGCGAAAAGTTTGATGTTTGAACGTTTGATCGGCCTCTGGGGTTCCTCTTGAGGCTTTCTCGGGGCCCTCTTGGGCCCTCTTGGGCGCCTCTTGGGCTGGTTTGGGGCGCTCCAGAGCCGTGTTGGGGCCGTGTTGGGACAGTCTTGGGGGCCTCCCGGGTCATCTTGGGGCGCTCTTGAGGGCCTCTGGATCTGTCTTGGAGCGTCGGAAAGCTGAAAAAGCGAGAAGGCAGACAACATAGAAAAACACAATGGACAATTAACCATTTCGGCCTCCCGGTGCCGTCTTGGGAGGCTTCTTTGGGGCCTCTTGGGGCGTCTTGGGGGCTCCTGGGGCTGTCTTGGTGCCATCTTGGGTGGTCTTGGGGGCCTCTGGGGCAATCTTGGGGCCATCTTGGGCGTCTTGAAGCGCTTTGTGCCTGTCTTGGAGCGCTCTTGGGGCACTCGGGACCGCTTCAATGGGCGTCCGGAGGGTCCCAAAGCCCCAGGATCCCGGGAGTCCGGTTTGGGGGGCGGGGGATGGGTTTTGCGGCCGCCCGGGCTTCTAAAAATATAGGAAGAGGAATATATATATATATATATATATATATATATATAGATAGAGAGAGAGAGAGAGAGAGAGAGAGAGAGAAAATAGAAAAGTGGCGGAATGCCCCGGCGATCCACCGGACGATTTGTTCTGATCTTCCCCTGCAGCCCGCAATGTGGTTCGTGCCCTTGGTCGTCCCCTTGTGCGTGTCGGCACCGCGGGCTCCCGTTGGCACGGGGCGGGACGGCGTGCGTAGGCTTTTCAGGCCGCTGGAGGACGACGCGCGCAGGGGCGTCCTGGGCGCCCAGGCGCCTCGCTCTGGAATTTCTGACCCTCCCCCGTCCTCCTGCACAGTGCTTTGCCCTATCAAAAGAATATGTTCGCGAGGAACACGTTGGGCTACCTCCGGGTTGCCTTCGTTTGCTGAGCCGACGTGGGACACTTACCTCCCGCGAGCGCTTGGTAGCACACCCTCCCCTCTCCACACCTCCCCTCCCTCCTCCCACCCCTCCTCATTCCCCTTTCATGTTTCGTCTTCCGTCCCTGCCTATATTCGTTACAGCTGGCAGGCTGGGCAATGCTGTCCTAGATGGCCCCATGAATTCTACATACGGTGTTCGCTTCCTTTCTAGTAAGCAAGTTTGGATGCGGATGACCATGTCCGCCTCGAGGCACCTTGCTCCTGAATCCGCCATACGAACGCCATGCCGGACTGCAACTAGACATCTCCTGACCCTTCTTTCTCCTCTTGTCTCCCCCTTTCCGCAATCACTCAATATGGCTCCCAGACTAAAACACTCCGCCCTCTCCGTGTATGTCTTTCACACAGGATTCCAACATGGTGCTCCCGATGCAGCGTGGGCCTAATTTTGGGATCGGCGCGGTGCTCCCGTCATTCAGAATGGAGCCTTCGCCCCAGCGCGGGCCACTCTTCTGAATCCGAGTCTTCCTTATCTCTGTCGCCCGCTCCCTTGCTCTCCCCCGCCTTCCCCTGGTCCTCCTGCTCCTCACGCGCCTGCGACTCCTGCGACTGCTGCTGCTATTCCTCCTCGACCTCATCCTCTCCCGCTCCTCCTCCTCCCCCTCCTCTTCCTTCTCCTCCTCTTCCTCCTCCCGCTCTTTCTCCTGCTCATCCTCCTTCTCCGCCTCCTCCTCCTCATCCTCTTCTTCCTCCAATGTGCACAGACCATTTTTCGGACTGTGCATGACACGATGGTGTCCTTCTTGGGGCTCCAGGCCCGCGACGACACCCGTCGGCGCACAGAGGGCACCTCCGCGCAACGGGAAAAAGGGACGGGTGGGAGGGGCAGGACGTCACCTGCCACTGGCCATCGCTCGGACGTCCACTCGCTGTTTTTTTTCCGGTTTCGTGCGTGGTTTTCTCCCAGGATGACCCAGGATGCTCCTCAATGCTCCCCGCCGAGAACAAGTGCACGCGTCCGAGCGATACCAAGGCCATGGCGCGAGCGCGCCTGGCCTGCCGCCGCCCCCCCCCTCTCCCCCCGTCCCCCGTCCCCTCTCTCTCTCCTCCGCCTCCGCCTCCGCCTCCGCCTCCTCCTCCTCCTCCTCCTCTTCCTCCTCCTTCTCCTCTTCCTCCTCCTTCTCCTCCTCCCCCTCCTCCTCCTCCTCCCCCTCCTCCTCCTCCTCCTCCTCCTCCTCCTCCTCCTCCTCCTCCGTCCCCTCTCTGCCTCCTCGTGGGCGCCTCGTGGGCGCCCCGTGGGTCGGGTGGGCTCGCCCACGGCTGCGCCGCGCTGCCGCCCGAGCCGCCCCGCGGGCGCCTCCGCCCGGCGCCCCCGCGTGCGCTCGGGGGGGCTCCCCGAGGCTGCGCCATGCTGCCGCCCCCGCCGCCCCGTGCCAGGCTGCGCCATGCTGCCGCCCCCCCCCCCTCTCTCTCCGCCACCCACCCCCCTCTCTCTGCCTCTCTCTTCCCCCTCCACCTCCTCCCAGTTCCCCTGGCTCCGCCGCCCCCCCCCCGTCTCCACGCCGCAGCGGCGCCGCCACCCCGCCGACACGACGCGTCCCCGCACGGGGCCGCCGGGCACTCGGCGGGGGCCGCCGTGGATCTCAGCACGGGCAGCCGGCTGTCCTCGTGATTCATCCTGCCGAGGCGGGCCGCGCAACAGCCGCGCCGCCTCCCCGTTCCTGCCCATGCAGTCGCTGTTGCTGCTGCTCTTCCTCCTCCTCCTCCTCCTAGTCCTTCTCTGTCTCCTTCAGCTTGGCCTCCTCTTTCCCTTCCCCACTCCAGCTCTTCCACCACCACCACAACCTCCTCCTCCTCCTCCTTCTCCTCCTCCTCCTCCTCCTCACTGATCATCGCTCCTTCCCCTCCTCCTGCTCCTCGGCCTCATCCTCTTCCCACGCGCCATGCTCCTCATCATCCTAGTCTTCCTCCTTCTTTCTTCCTTCTTTCCTCCTCCTCCTCCTCACATTCGTCACGATTCCCCTTCTGCTCCTGCTCGGCCTTGTCTTCCTCCTCCTCCCTATTCCCCTCCTCGCTCTGCTGCTCCCTCACGTTTACTTCGTCTCCCTCCGTCCTCCTCTTCCCTCATCTTCGTTCTCCTCCTCCTGCTATCCTCGCGGCCAGGGCAGAGACCATGGCCAGACGCCCGCGTCGTCGCCATCGCGGTGTGTCCATCCTGACCACTGAGCCACTGAGCCCAGACCAGAACACGCATGCCAAGACGACCCAACAACCACCAAGTCACACTGGGCCGAACCATGCTAAATACACCAGACATACCAATGCAACATACTAACAACCCAAGCGTAACGGCCAGACCAATCGCACCAACCAGTCGCATAAACTAGTCCGAGCAGACCAACCAGGCAACGTGACACGAACAGAGCACACACTCGTACCAACAATGCTCCACACTGCCATTGGAATCATACGCTCAACCAACACAACCGCTCCCTTCCAGGGCAAGCACCATCACGTCACATCGACGCTACACAACTATAAAGGCACACAACAAACGCAATGCAACATTCACTAATTGTTATGCTCCAATCTGTCGACGCCTGGGACATCATGCTCCCCATGAACATCCCAAACCACTCACGCCATACCCGTGAAATCTTCACGCTCACGCAATCAAACCCATTGCACACATCTGCTCATGGTAATGTGCGTTTGCGGACGTCACGTCTTCCATACACTTCCCGACGCTACTCCCGCCTTGCACACGGAATCTTGAGCTTAAACTAAAGCGTAGAAACGCAGCCCTAAGGTTAACAACGCGTAGAAACTAATTATCAGACGCCTGAGCCTCATATTCGAGTACTTGCGTTCTGGATGTTTGGCATTTCGTCGTGCGCTGCACGGCTGCGAGCTGTATGTATGCAGTGGCCTTCGCCGCCTCTCCCTCGTCCGCATTTTCTCGCCAAGAATCCAGACTCGCGCGGTGACCCGGCAACGTGATGTTACGAGCGTCTGTCCTTGACAGATGCCAGAACTGAAACTGGATTGTGTTGATCATCCGTTTAAGCGCCCTTACATTACGAATCTTCGCGATCGCGTACAGCTATGCAACGGTTAAACCTGCGGCCCGCGCCGCTGACAGCGATCGGGGAGAGTGCAGGAGGCCCACAGGGGGGAGACGCGCCCCAGAACGAGAAAGATTGGGGCCAGGAGGGCCTGGCATGGAGGCGCGGCGGGTCCTGTGGGTGGGATCGGAGCCGTAATGCCCGAAGCCCTCCTGGTTGGTCGTGGCCGGGAAAGTCGCGCTCAGGCAGGTGGCTGGGTTCGCCGACTGGTACGGGGGTCCTGGCAAGGGGGGAGCGAGGATGGGGCGGGTGGGGCGGGATACGGGAGAACGAGGGAGGGAGGAGGGATGAAGGGAGGTGGCGAATAGTGGGAACGTCAATCGACCAATAGAATCCCCCGAAACCCCAACAACCGAGGAAGACAACGGGCGACACAACAACAATCGCGGAAACAACGACAACGGGGGACAACCGCGGGTCAAGAATCTCAGATTTCTGGGATTTCCGTGGCGTGCCGCGTGACCTGCCTATCGAATAAACAAACATAAATGCTTGATTGTTTTGGGTTGCACATGCCACTGCCAGGCAGCTAGAAACTTCCCCTCGAACATGGACAACGACCATGCAGAGTCTCATAATAGGCCTCCACTGAGATGCCACCACGAGGCGCCCAAGAGGTCCCCCGAGAAGCCCCCAAGGGCCCCCTGGCAGATCTTGAGAGTGTCGAGCGATCTCCCAAGACGCCTCCAAGAGGCACCCAAGAGCTCCGCCAAAGACCGTAGAAATCAAGGTCTCAAGCACGGTGGCGGCACAGGCGGAATATCGATAAGGAAATCCCCCGCCACAATGCTTGCACTCACTGGCCCTGCTTTGTGCTTCAAGGAGGCGGCCCGGTACGCCAGGGTGGGGCCGTACTCGTCTTAGGGGGCTTTGGGTGTGGGTTGGGCGTTGGTGTTGACGTGGATTCGGACGTAGATTTGGGCGTGGAAATTGAACGTGGGTGTGAATGGGTGTGAACGTGGCGGGTGTTAACGTGGGAGCGGACGTACGTTTGGGCGTGGGCTTGGGTGTTGATTTGACGTGGGCTTGGACATCTTGAGAGCAGCCCAGTATGGTGCCAAGCGTCACCTTTCTTACAGATCGTGCAACATGTGTGGCACGATTAACCTGGAGCGAATAAGTGCACGACCCTGAGTGAAGTGTCACAACTACTCCACGCCAAGCAAACGTCATGTCTGGCCTCGCCTTTCATCCAGATGGGTGTGCATCATTTCCATCGGTGGTGACGTAGCTGCCCGCGTAGCCGTTGAGAGAAAAATCTACACATCGGGGTTGGCCTCGTCAATGTTCGCACCAACCGTGAACTTCGCTAGAGGTTTTGGCGAGTTCCAAGAACACTCGGCATCACTCGCGGCACGCGGCTTCGGTGTCGGAACCAGGGCTGTCGAGAAGTTTCTCGATCGGCACATTTGCCGCCCCGCTGTCCTGGATCAAGGGTGACGACTTCATTGTGCTACTCCACGGCAAGGAGTCTGCAATCGGCGGCCCTTTCGTCGACGTTGGTCTCCAACTTCTCGCTCCCGCAAGGGATGTGGATGTGGTTGACATTATGGTGGCGGTTTGCGTTAACGACTGTCGCGATTTTGTCAAGGACTCCCAACGCGCAAGCTTCACTCCGACCCGTGGCAGCGCGGGTCAACCCAGGTGATCTCGGCGTGATGCCCTCGGCATACTCGACGCCTTCTGCAAAACTCTGCCGTGCCGCTGGTGAATGGGAGCGCGTTCGTGAAGGGATACGCCAGTCAGCCAGGGTGGGCGGTAAGAAGAGCACCATGGTCACGGGCAGTGCCAATCTCAGCGCGAGAAGCAACGGGATCGGCAGGCTGCCCGTCCCGGGAAGTCCAGACCACGCGGCGCGCTCACTGTGGGACGCCACGGCCAGCATCGGACCGTCGCCACGAAGTCGCACGCGAGCCACTTGAGGCAGGGGCCAACAGGGGTCAGGGGCGCGTCGCATACGCACGCGGCATGCCGTAGCCCAGCTCGATCTCAGGCAGGGAAATCCGCCGACATTGGCGACGGCTGCGAGGTTCACGACAACGCAGGGACCAGCGTAAGCGGAGGTGGGGAGGCGGTAGGAGATGCTGAGGTGTAGGCAGCGGTGTTGTATTCAAAGCGAGAGCCCAACACATGAGGATTGGACACAAATACTTGGCCGAACGCAAACAACACAACCAGACACCCCCCAAGGGCGGACAAAACATGCCCCCCCCGAAGGGGGGCCACCACATGCAACACCAGCGACACACACACACACACAAACAACAACACCCCAGGAACTTTGAACACACGACAGCACGACACACATTCAAGACTACCAGCGTCAGCACCCCACTGCCCCCAAACAGCCAGCCTTGCCCCAGGACGACCAAGCAGCCTCCAAAGCGGTCCTAACCCTGCCCAATGCCTCCACCCGTTCCATGAGGGCTCCAGGATAGCGATAGCATCAACACGGTCCAAGAGGCCCCACCGACTGCTCAAGTTCGGTGGGTCTACGTGCACCGCTGAACTGCTGAGGAGCGTGAGCTCGAGCTCCTTTCTACCGCGCGGGCGAAGTCGGGGTCTAGTTTGCGGTCCGCCCCAATCCCCCTTCTTGCCGCGCGGACGAAAGCGAGGTCGAGTTTACGACCCGCCCCAATGCAGACCGCTTGCTGAACTGCCCTGGGGCGCGAATTCGACCTCCTTGGTGCCGAGCGGGCGAAGATGAGGTGGAATTCACGACTTGCCGCAATTCAGACCGCTCGCTGAAATGCCGTGTGGCGTAAACTCGACCTCCTTCCTACCTGCGCGGGCGAAGACAGCTTCGAGCTCACGACCAGCACACGTTCGAACAGCTCGCCGAACTGCCGCATGGGCGCGCACTCAACATCCTTCCTGCCGCACGGGCACGGACGAGGTGGAGTTTGCGACCCGCCTCAGCTCAGACCGCTCGGCGGAATTCGGCTGTCAGCCTGCTGCATTGGCCCAGCGGCGGGGTTTGCTGCAGCCAACTGGATACTTATCCAGAGCCAGCTGGTGGCCCTGGCGGGCCGACTCAGGGCCTCCAGGCAAGACGCTGGTCATGCAGATCGGCTCGGCCTGTTGCGCGTGTGGGGCCAGCGCGTGGAGGAAGAAACAATTCTGAGGTCTTGGCCGCGGCATGCTGGACCTGGCCGAGCCTGCGCTGGGCGGCAAAATATGGCTCGTGGGACGGACAAGTGGATGGTGCAGGTGATGGATTGCCGTGAACATGCATCAATCTAATGGTGAGACGCCCATAACACCTCAAGTAATTTTAGCGACTATTGCCACGCAGCCAGAGAACTGAGGAGGAACGAAAGAGGGAAGATAAGGACGATGAGGAAGAAATGATGAAGGAGAAGGGAAAAATTAATAAGATGAGAGGAAAGATGAACCAGGCCCGGCAACCGCGTCCCTTTCGCACAGGGGGAGCAACCACTCATGCCAACAGCTGGAATTAAGAGAGATCTCCAGGCTCCTGGCGTCAGCGCGCGATGGGGTGGGGGGAGCGCGACAAGGAGGAGTAGAAGGAGGAGGGCTCATGAGGAGGAGGAGGAGGAGGAGGAGGAGGAGGAGGAGGAGGAGGAGGAGGAGGATGGGAGAGCGAGAGGGGGAGGAGGAGGAATGCAGGGTTCTGGCTGGCCTTCCGTGGGACACGCTGCGGCCCAGAAGCCCAACTGCACAGAGATTTCGAGACCCTCGGGTCGAGAAGTGACTGTCTAACCTGACAATTTCTGAGCCCCTTGGGCCGCTCACATCCATTTTGGAGACATGGGGGGGAGGAATGCTGTGTCAGACATCTCAAGGGCGGGGCTTTCAAACGTTGAGGTCGCCCCCCCCTTCCGTTCGTCTGAGCGTGCATATTCCGAGAATGCAAACTGCATGCTTCGCTGGTACTGCCATCCCTGCTGCGGGGCCCCAAAGACTCACCAAGGCCTGCCATGTGATTTCGGATTGGTGACTGTTCTTTCAGGCCCGAATGTCCGAACTGACGATGTTGCACCGCTCCGGCGATGGAATCCTCGTGCATGTTGGTCTGGTACTCCGACCTGCTTGCAGGGCGATACATCCAAGCACAATCGAAGGTTGCAGACAAAGCTTGGACACCACGGCGCTGCACACGTCTACCGTGGCCATTCCAACATCGAAGACACCCGCACTCCGCCACATTCTCGTGTAGCAGCGACTGACGGGCTGACCAAGCGAGAACGACTGACGGGCTGACCAAGCGAGAGATCCAGTGAGTGTGACAGGGACAGGCAGGAAGATAGAAAAAGATGGAGATAGGGAGTGCGAGACATTGGACTAGCCGAAAGGGACACCTGCATTGGCCAAGAGCGAAGACAACGCCGCCGAGCACATGCGCTTAGAGGGGCGCGAACTCCGACAGGCATGCAGATGTCCTGCCGAGCGTGCTCAGCTCCAACGCGTCCAAGAAGTCGAGAGAGGTCAGGGACCCGCATGTTCCCGTCCAGCCCTCTGCTTCGTCCTCTGCCTCCTCTGTCCCCCCCTTCGCATCCCTCCTTTCTGCCCCTTGCCCTCTGATTCCCGTCCTTCTCCGCCTCCGCATCCTCATCGGTTCTCCTCATCCCCTCCGACTTTTCGTCCCCCTTCTTCTTTTTATTCCTCCTCCTCCGCGCCAATCCACTCACCCCAACAACTGATACCACTCACTCCTCCTTCGTACTCCTTCGTCTTCCTGCCGAACTCATCTTCGATCTCCCCCTTCCTCCTTCTCTTCCCTCCTCCTTCCTCGTGTCCCTTATTATTCCTCCTCCCTCATCCTCCCTCCCCCTCCTTCGGACTCCCTTCTCTCAAAAATCTTCGTCGATCGGCTGGGACTTCAAGCTCCAAAACTGTTGGGTCGGAACCTCACGGTCTTCCAGCACGCCTGGGCTGTCCAGGGGCACGAAGGCCCCTGCGGGGACCGCCTCCTCCGACTCCTGCGCCACCCCCCCTCTCCTCTTCCTCCTCCTCCTCCTCCTCCTCCTCCTCCTCCTCCTCCTCCTCCTCCTCCTCCTCCTCCTCCGCCTCCTCCACCTCCTTCTCCTCCTCCTCCTCCTCCTCCTCCTCCTCCTCCTCCTCCTCCTCCTCTTCCTCCTCCTCCTCCTCCCCCCTCCCCTTCCCGCTCTTTCCCCCTCCTCCTCCCTCCCTCCCATCCCTCCCATTCCCCTCCCTGCCCTCCTCCTCCCTCCCCTCCCCTCCCTCCATCCCTCCCTCCCTCCTCCTCCCCCCTCCCTCCCTCCCTCCCCTCCCTGCCATTCCCCCTCCCTGCCCTCTGCCACGGCCGCCCGAGCGAGCCCCCCGAAGGGACGGGCACCCGCTCCGGCGTCCGAGCCGGGCTGCCGGGGGTGGAGCCCGCCCCGGGCCCCGACGCAGCGAAGGGAGGGAAGGTCGGGGGAGGGAGGGAGGGAGGGAAGCAGGAGAGAGGGGAGGGAGTGGAGGGACGGCTGGAGGAAGGGGGAGCGAGGGAAGCAGGATGGGGAGCAGAGAAGGACGGAGGAAGGGGAGTGAGGGAAGCAGCAGAGAGGGGAGGGAGTGGGGGGATTGCTGGAGGAAGGGGGGTGAGGGAAGCAGGACGGGGAGTAGAGAAGGATGGAGGAAGGGGAGTGAGGGAAGCAGCAGCAGAGAGGGGGGAGTGGAGGGATGGCTGGAGGAAGGGGGAGCAAGGGAAGCAGAAAGGGGAGTAGAGAAGGATGGAGGAAGGTGAGTGAGTGAGGGAAGTGGAGGGAGCAGGGGAGGAGAGGGAGTGAGAAGCAGCAGAGAGCTGGGAGGAGCAAGGGGGAGCAAGGGGAGGGAGTGGAGGGATGGAAGGGGGAGCAAGGGAAGCAGGACGGAGAGTAGAGAAGGATGGAGGAAGGGGAGTGAGGAAAGCAGCAGCAGAGAGGGGAGGGAGTGGAGGGATGGCTGGAGGAAGGGGGAGCAAGGGAAGCAGAAAGGGGAGTAGAGAAGGATGGAGGAAGGGGAGTGAGGGAAGCAGCAGAGAAGGGATGGAGTGGAGGGATGGGTGGAGGAAGGGGGGTAAAGGAAGCAGGAAGGGGAGTAGAGAAGGATGGAGGAAGGGGAGTGAGGGAAGCAGCAGAGAAGGGAGGGAGTGGAGGGATGGCTGGAGGAAGGGGGGAGCAGAGGGAGGCTGGAGGAAGGGGGGTAAGAGAAGCAGGAAGGGGAGTAGAGAAGGATGGAGGAAGGGGAGTGAGGGAAGCAGCAGAGAAGGGAGGGAGTGGAGGGATGGCTGGAGGAAGGGGAGCAAGGGAAGCAGGAAGGGGAGTAGAGAAGGATGGAGGAAGGGGAGTGAGGGAAGCAGCAGAGAAGGGAGGGAGTGGAGGGATGGCTGGAGGAAGGGGGGTAAGAGAAGCAGGAAGGGGAGTAGAGAAGGATGGAGGAAGGGGAGTGAGGGAAGCTGCAGAGAAGGGAGGGAGTGGAGGGATGGCTGGAGGAAGGGGAACAAGGGAAGCAGGAAGGGGAGTAGAGAAGGATGGAGGAAGGGGAGTGAGGGAAGCAGCAGAGAAGGGAGGGAGTGGAGGGATGGCTGGAGGAAGGGGGGTAAAGGAAGCAGGGAGTAGGAAGGATGGAGGAAGGGGAGAGAGGGAAGCAGCAGAGAGGGGAGGAAGTGGAGGGATGGCTGGAGGAAGGGGGAGCAAGGGAAGCAGGAAGGGGAGTGGAGAATGATGGAGGAAGGGGAGTGAGGGAAGCAGCAGAGAGGGGAGGGAGTGGAGGGATGCCTGGAGGAAGGGGGGTAAAGGAAGCAGGAAGGGGAGTAGAGAAGGATGGAGGAAGGGGAGTGAGAGAAGCAGCAGAGAAGGGAGGGAGTGGAGGGATGGCTGGAGGAAGGGGGAGCAAGGGAAGCAGGAAGGGGAGTGGAGAATGATGGAGGAAGGGGAGTGAGGGAAGCAGCAGAGAGGGGAGGGAGTGGAGGGATGGCTGGAGGAAGGGGGAGCAAGGGAAGCAGAAATGGGAGCAGAGAATGATGGAGGAAGGGGAGTGAGGGAAGCTGCAGAGAAGGGAGGGAGTGGAGGGATGCCTGGAGGAAGGGGGGTAAAGGAAGCAGGAAGGGGAGTAGAGAAGGATGGAGGAAGGGGAGTGAGGGAAGCAGCAGAGAAGGGAGGGAGTGGAGGGATGCCTGGAGGAAGGGGGAGCAAGGGAAGCAGGAATGGGAGTAGAGAAGGATGGAGGAAGGTGAGTGAGGGAAGCAGCAGAGAAGGGAGGGAGTGGAGGGATGCCTGGAGGAAGGGGGAGCAAGGGAAGCAGGAAGGGGAGTAGAGAAGGATGGAGGAAGGGGAGTGAGGGAAGCAGCAGAGAAGGGAGGGAATGGAGGGATGCCTGGAGGAAGGGGGAGCAAGGGAAGCAGGAAGGGGAGGAGAGAAGGATGGAGGAAGGGGAGTGAGGGAAGCAGCAGAGAAGGGAGGGAGTGGAGGGATGGCTGGAGGAAGAGACCTATCTGAGCACGATAGGGAAAGAAACATCAAGGACAAGGGAAGGATGACACGAAAGTGCGGCGAAGCGGCAATGCCATAGCGAGGGCCTCCAATGTGAGCACGACCGGTGACCCGGGGCGTCTTCGGTATTGCGAACTGGTCTCTGGGACTTGGCGGCCGACTCCGAGTACTTCTGCGCGGCGACGTGCTCGGGAGGTACTTATATATTCACGGTCGCAGAAGTGCACTGCACACTTGGAGGGAGGATCCGAGGAAGTCACCACCGAGTCGGCGATTGACTTTATGAGTCGTCACTGCACGTATCGCAGGCTTCATGAAACTGTCCCTCCGTGGCATCTCACGATCTCCAAGCCGTGCTTGCACTGAAGGGCTCCTCGCTGTTTTTTGCATGCTTCCCGCCCGGCTTGAGCCCGCAGGCGCTCCGTGCGACAGGCGGGCATGCTGGCGTACCCCGCTGGTGGGCACCCGTGGGCGCCCGCTGGCCGGGTCTGCCAAAGTGTGGGATGGCGGGCGCCCGTGGGCGCCTCGTGTGCTGGCTGGGTCTTCCGGGTCGTCGATCGGTGAGCGCCGGTGGGCTCACTCACAGTCTGCACCGCATAGCTCGCACGTCGTAGGATCCCACCAGCCCTTCGGGGCGTAAGGTGGTCTAGAGCGTTTCCTCTTCCAACCACCTTGTTCCCCTTCGGTGAGGGGTTTCTCACTGTCCCCTGTTAATGTACACCCCCTCCCCCAGGCGACCAGCGGCCAACCAGGAACCATGCATGCACCCCCCGCCACCCATGTCAAAGATCAATGCAACACGCGCTCTGCCTCCACATTTGTAGCATGCGCGGCCAACCCGATGCGCCCCCCACCACCATCCCTGCCAAACAACAGCACAACGTACACTTTGGGGCAAAATCTTGGGTCATGTTCGTCAGGCCCGCGAGCACGTTGTATTGTTTTTGACAATGACAGCGGGGGTGTCAGCATATTGTCTGCTGCGCGCAAGGCTACTATCCCTAAGAAAAAACCATACAACATGCACCTCGCGGCTAAATCTGGATGATGCGCGGCCACCCCGCGATCACTGTCAAGCGGTTTTGCACAAGGTCGGCGGGGGTGGTGGCGCATGGCCTGCTGTGCGCAGGCCCACCCGACACAATGATGGGCATTTCTGTTCGACAAGGGTGGTGGGGGCCGACATGTTTCCCGATGTGTGCTGTCACGTGCGCAGGTGCACCTGACACACACTGCGCGTGCCCCGAACGTGGCGCACCTGGCGCGGCTGGAGTATGCGGCACACCCAGCGCACGCGGAGCACGTGGCGCATCTGGCGCAGCAGACGTGCCTGGCACGCTCGGACCCCAGGGGTTCCTGGAGCGCGTGGCGCGCCTGGCACGCGTGACGCACCGCGCCCCAGCGTCCCGCACATGGGCTCGGCTCTGGCTCCCAGTAGCTGTTCATCCAAAGACGACCGCTGCACATGCAGAGGCTCGGGCGTTACTGATGTGTTGGGAGGGCGGGTGGGAGTGAGCTAGACGGCTTGTTATCTAGGAGGGTGTATTGATCTTTCCCCTACCCCCCTTCTTGGACCTGACCGGCCGCGAGCGGTCAGAACGTCCAAGATGGCCCAAGACGGCTCCAAGAGGGCCTCTGAGAGCCCAAGATGACCTCCAAGATGGCTCAAGATAGCCCGAGATGCCTCACGATGGCTTCCAAGATGCTCTTAGAGGATCCAATTAGGTTCCAAGACTGCTCCAAGAGGCCTCCAAGACATCCAATGAGGCCTCCAAGAGGCCCAAAACCTTCCCAAACCTAGGGAAAACCAATGATTTTTGTCTTCTCGCCTTTTCGCTGCCGATTTGCCATCCGAGGCCTCGACATTGCTCCAAGATGGCCCAAGAGGGGCCCAAGAGGGGCCCAGGAGAGCCTCAAGACGGCCCCAAGAGCGCCCAAGAGCGCTCCAAGAGCGCTCCAAGAGACCATGTTTGGGGCCCCCGAGTGGCAACAGTAATTGGGGAACCCATCTTTTTGGATCGATGTCCTCCAAGATGGCCCCAAGAGGCTCCCAAGAGGCCCCCAGGAGGCCCCCAAGAGGACTCCACGCTGCCCCAAGAGTCCCCCCCGAGGCACCCAAGACGCCCAAGAGCCCCCCAGGACCGCCAAGAGACCCCCAAGACGTCCCAAGAGGCCACCAAGAAGCGCCCAAGAGATATCCCAAGAGGTTGCGAGAGGCATCCAAGAGACCTCTGGCCCTTTTGCTTGCCATCCTCCTCCTGCTCCTCTTTCCTCCTTCTACTCCTTCTCTTCCTCCTCCTCATCCTGTTCATCTTCCTTCTCCCCACTCCCTCATCCATTTCCTCCTTCTCCTCCTCCCTCCTTCGCACGGTTCGGCCGTCCCCCTTTTTGCTCTCCCGCACTCCCTGATCACCTCAACTCGCCTGGACATCGTTTCTGGATGGGCTGTTGGGGCCACGCGACGCGTCTCGAATTTTTACATTGCCTTGCACCCAGAACACACACATTCATACATTCATTCATACATACATACATACATACATACATGCATACATCCATACATACAGTCACTCATGCGTACACATACACAAGTGCACACATACGAGCGAGCCCCCCGAAGGGACGGGCACCCGCTCCGGCGTCCGAGCCGGGCTGCCGGGGGTGCAGCCCGCCCCGGGCCCCGACGCAGCGAAGGGAGGGAAGCTCGGGGGAGGGAGGGAGGGAAGCAGGAGAGAGGGGAGGGAGTGGAGGGATGGCTGGAGGAAGGGGGAGCGAGGGAAGCAGGACGGGGAGCAGAGAAGGACGGAGGAAGGGGAGTGAGGGAAGCAGCAGAGAGGGGAGGGAGTGGGGGGATTGCTGGAGGAAGGGGGGGTGAGGGAAGCAGGACGGGGAGTAGAGAAGGATGGAGGAAGGGGAGTGAGGGAAGCAGCAGAGAAGGGAGGGAGTGGAGGGATGGCTGGAGGAAGGGGGAGCAAGGGAAGCAGGACAACGTACACTTTGGGGCAAAATCTTGGGTCATGTTCGTCAGGCCCGCGAGCACGTTGTATTGTTTTTGACAATGACAGCGGGGGTGTCAGCATATTGCCTGCTGCGCGCAAGGCTACTATCCCTAAGAAAAACCATACACCATGCACCTCGCGGCTAAATCTGGATGATGCGCGGCCACCCCGCGATCACTGTCAAGCGGTTTTGCACAAGGTCGGCGGGGGTGGTGGCGCATGGCCTGCTGTGCGCAGGCCCACCCGACACAATGATGGGCATTTCTGTTCGACAAGGGTGGTGGGGGCCGACATGTTTCCCGATGTGTGCTGTCACGTGCGCAGGTGCACCTGACACACACTGCGCGTGCCCCGAACGTGGCGCACCTGGCGCGGCTGGAGTATGCGGCACACCCAGCGCACGCGGAGCACGTGGCGCATCTGGCGCAGCAGACGTGCCTGGCACGCTCGGACCCCAGGGGTTCCTGGAGCGCGTGGCGCGCCTGGCACCCGTGACGCACCGCGCCCCAGCGTCCCGCACATGGGCTCGGCTCTGGCTCCCAGTAGCTGTTCATCCAAAGACGACCGCTGCACATGCAGAGGCTCGGGCGTTACTGATGTGTTGGGAGGGCGGGTGGGAGTGAGCTAGACGGCTTGTTATCTAGGAGGGTGTATTGATCTTTCCCCTACCCCCCTTCTTGGACCTGACCGGCCGCGAGCGGTCAGAACGTCCAAGATGGCCCAAGACGGCTCCAAGAGGGCCTCTGAGAGCCCAAGATGACCTCCAAGATGGCTCAAGATAGCCCGAGATGCCTCACGATGGCTTCCAAGATGCTCTTAGAGGATCCAATTAGGTTCCAAGACTGCTCCAAGAGGCCTCCAAGACATCCAATGAGGCCTCCAAGAGGCCCAAAACCTTCCCAAACCTAGGGAAAACCAATGATTTTTGTCTTCTCGCCTTTTCGCTGCCGATTTGCCATCCGAGGCCTCGACATTGCTCCAAGATGGCCCAAGAGGGGCCCAAGAGGGGCCCAGGAGAGCCTCAAGACGGCCCCAAGAGCGCCCAAGAGCGCTCCAAGAGACCATGTTTGGGGCCCCCGAGTGGCAACAGTAATTGGGGAACCCATCTTTTTGGATCGATGTCCTCCAAGATGGCCCCAAGAGGCTCCCAAGAGGCCCCCAGGAGGCCCCCAAGAGGACTCCACGCTGCTCCAAGAGTCCCCCCCGAGGCACCCAAGACGCCCAAGAGCCCCCCAGGACCGCCAAGAGACCCCCAAGACGTCCCAAGAGGCCACCAAGAAGCGCCCAAGAGATATCCCAAGAGGTTGCGAGAGGCATCCAAGAGACCTCTGGCCCTTTTGCTTGCCCTCCTCCTCCTGCTCCTCTTTCCTCCTTCTACTCCTTCTCTTCCTCCTCCTCATCCTGTTCATCTTCCTTCTCCCCACTCCCTCATCCATTTCCTCCTTCTCCTCCTCCCTCCTTCGCATGGTTCGGCCGTCCCCCTTTTTGCTCTCCCGCACTCCCTGATCACCTCAACTCGCCCGGACATCGTTTCTGGATGGGCTGTTGGGGCCACGCGACGCGTCTCGCTTTTTTACATTGCCTTGTACCCAGAACACACACACATACACGTACATACATACATACATACATACATACATACATACATACATACATACATACATACATACATACATACATACATACACACAACCATACACACAACCATACATGCAAGCACACACACATACATACATATATATACATACAAACATGCATACACACATACATTCATACACACATACACGCATACAAACGTACATGCATGCATACATCCATACATACAGTCGCTCATGCGTACACATACACAAGTGCATGCATACATGCATACATACGTACGTGCACACATACATACACACACACGTACATACACACATACACACCATACGCGCATACACACATGCACTCATACACACATCCACACATACCAAACACATACATACATACATACATACATACATACATACATACACACATACATACACACACATATACATACATACACACATACATACATACACAACCATACATACATACATACATGCATGCATGCATGCATGTATACATTCATACAAATATACATGCATCGATGCATACATACATACACACGCCCGTGTGCACGTACGCATATACATACGTACCCACGTAC